AAACTCTCCATTTTCCCTCTCTCTCTCTTTTATACACTGTCCTGCACACATGCACAAACACACACATACACACAGAAAGTCAGGATATTTATATATTTTAGCTTTTGTGTATTTGTCAGCGGTGCCAGCATGTGGGGTGACTTACAGCAGGGTGCAGAATGAAAGCGAGCTAGGGGAGCTTGAAGCAGTGTTTTCTCTACAGCTCAGACTAGTCTGGCTCTGCTCGGCCCTCTTGCTGCTTCAGCTCCCTGCAGACTGACACCCGACTACTACAGGGACTCATCCATGTACTACTGTAGCAGTGGAGCTGGTACGGCCGCCAGAAACACAGCCCTCGCAAATTAAACACGGCAATAGTCTCTCAACATTTGCTCTCTATTTCTTTCTGACTGTGTGTCTTACCAAATTCCCCTCATCCTATTCTGCTGCGTTGCAGCCGCTTATTTTCTTTCGTTCACCTGCAGTGATGGAAGAGGTGCTCAGACCCAGAATTTCATGCCACAGTTATTGCGGCAAAAACCATCATAGGTAAAATGTATTGTTGCAATGATAATCAGAGTTTCCTAGAAAACTATGAGTGCTAAAATACAGGTTTATACTGTTTTCTCTGGATTTCTATCACCCGGCAGTGTATGTTGCACCTAACATTACTAACATAAAATGCACTTTAAACAATAGAAACAAAAAGAGGGATTTAAAACATGAATTTATGTGTTTGAATTAGGTGTTTGTAAGTTTAAATGTATTGAATTGTTTGTATAAATGTTACTGCTGCACACCTATAAAATAGCCCTGTATAAGTTACATCCACAGTAACTAGAACTGGTGACCACTGTTTTTCTGCATGACCAAGTCTCCTCTGGATTATTAAACATAAAGCTGTTTATAATGTCAGACAGTAATCAGACGTGTTGGTAATGTGACAGTGTTTCACTGCTGATTATTGACTATTGTAATATCACTCATATATTGTCAGTAAAAAACCTAAATTCTCATATGGAAAAGAAATGTAAGAAAACTTTGGCATTTTTAACATTTAATATACAATCATGTACGTTTTCACTGGACTCTATGCAGGTCTTTGAAAATCTAAGTACATCATTCTGTAGCTCTTAGAATCACTTATAGCAGCAACAGCTTGAATTAATTGTTTTCTTTATAACTATTTTTACATTAATTCAGGTCTGTGTGATTTGAGGGTATCTGTTTGTGTGAGCCAAGATTTAAATTTTTTTGAGTTTTAGTTGTTACAGTCGCTCATGTGACTTTAGAACATTTTGGCATTCAGAGGAGTTCATGGTTGAATCAATGACTGTAAGGTACAGAGGTCCCGTGGCTGCAAAACAAGCCAAAATCATCAGCCCTACCCAACTGTGCCTGCTAATTGGTATGAAGTGTTTTTGTTAAGGTGCTGTGTTTTGTTTCTGCCGAAGGTGGTGGTGCTGTGGATTACGGTTAAACATCTTCCACTTTGGTTCTTGGCTGTCCAATTACATTGTTCCAGAAATTTTGTGGTTTGTTCAGATCCAACTTTGCAAATCTGTGCCGTGCTGCCATGTTCTTTTCAGAAAGAAGAAGCTTTCTCAGGTAACCCTTCCAAACAACCACACTTATTCAGTCTTGGTCTTATTGTACTGTCAGCTCTAACTGTTAACATGCTCACTGAGGCCTGTAGAGTCTGAGCTGTAGCTTTTGGGCTTTTTTGCTGTTTCTCTGAAGATTGCACATTATGACCTTGGAGTGAATTTTCTGTGATGTCCACTCTCTTTAAGATTGTGGCACTGTGTTAACACTCACCTGAATGCTTTGATCGGTGACAAAGGGCTGCTGCTTACTATACTAATTCCTGTAGACTCAATAAGAGTGTACTTAGTTTGCTACAGAACTGCAGCGATGAAAATTTTTATTTTTCACGACTGGCCTCTGCTTCTTCTTCTTCTTCTTCTTCTTTATCTTTCAGTTACTCCTTTTAGAGGTCCCCACAGTAGGGTGCCTTCATCTCACCCTATCACTAGCATGCTCTTCTGTCACATCAACCCTCTGAATGTCCTTCTTCATTACATCCATGAATCTTCTTGGTGGTTTAGCATTACCATCCAGTAAATCTTTTCTTGTTATCTTGTCTTTTTGACACAACTGTAATTCTAAAAATAAACATTTTGCTGTATAAAAAACTAGCGAAAAGAGGCTGCATTAGTGGTACATGAGACATATGACTCTCTGTCGTTTTTTTCTACTTTTTTTGTCTTTGGGAAATAGTAACCATATGCAAAAATGACCTTTTATGTATGATAGAATATATTTTATTATATGCACTACATTAGAGACTAGTTTTTGACATACAGTGTGAGTAGAATTTTAATGGTGTGGTTAGGTGAGATAATTAAAAATACCCACTTTAATGTTGGGAGCTTATTCTACAGCAATGAGTCATATTTGTTTTACAGTGTGTTACACATTTTGTTTGGTAATTATATTCCTAAAAACAAACTATTTGATGTCAAACACATGTAGTGAAAGGAAAAGCACACATTTCTCTTTAAATATAGTGCAAGTATGAAGTAACTTAGATTAAAAAATACTAGAGAAAATTGGAAGTACTTCAGATTGATACCTGAGTACAGTCCTTGAGGAAATATACTTTTTCACCGCTGCCTTTCTGTCTCTATACTCCTCTGCGTCTCCTCCTGCAGAGACACTTTCCAATCTCTTCTCTCTGTATTCAATTTTGCTCTTTTATTCCCTCATCGTCACAAGCCTATTCCCTCGGTTTGATTTTTTTCTCTTATTCTCCTCTTATTCTACTTCTATCGCAGATTTCCATCTTCTTCCTCACTCCCACTATTCCTCTCCTTGGAGTACAGAAACTATAATCTTCTCTGTCCAGTGCTGTCAATAGCTCTCAATAACAATGAAATAGCACCAGTTCCTCCCCATCACTGATGAAGGCATAGCCTCAGTTCGGATCTTATTCGTCATCAGGGCAATCTGCTTCTTGGTAATAGCCAATCAAATGGCTCCTGTGAAATGCAGCGCTCCCATGATAGGTTCCCCATTGTTTTGATTGACTGCACCTGAGGGCCCGCCACTTCGGCTGGCCTCGATCAATACCCCATCACACACACACGAGGAAAGCGCACGCTCATACATGCACTGGAATAAACACAGGGACACGCACACGTGCACACACACAATTTGGTGAAGAGTAAATTGAGAAGGAAACCACTGGTACGGCAAGCAAACAGAATACAATAGTAAAAGCCAGCAAAATGGAGTACTTGCAGTACGACGCACAGTTGCGTTACAGCAGTGCGCCACGCTGAGCTCGTTGTGTGCTCAACTTTGAATTCGTGCACACAAACATGATGACAAGGAGGAACTTTAAACTGTTGGTGAACTACTTACTAGTTTTCATCTTTGCCGTGACACACTGTGTTGAACAGGAATGATTTATGGAAAACAATGAGATGGAAAATTGCTCCCATATTGTGCCTCTTATTCTATGTTGTGTCACACATACAGATGGCCTCGCATAAGCTCTGCCTCTGTTCACTTTGAACTACAGCAACCATAATGAGAGCGGCACAGCCATCTGCACGGTATGGTGTATGTTATTAGTATTACAAACATGTTGACGCGCACATTTGCCCACCCTTCGATTGCGAGACATGTAAAGTCAGGCAGGATGAATGGGAGGCCGGTTGCTGCATAAAGAGCAAAGAAAAAGCAGAGGAAAGGGGAAGTGTGGCTGGTTTAGAAGACTGTGAAGATAGATTCAAAGCAGAGGGTTGCAGATTTTTTTGATGTGCTTTAAACATCAAAGTCAAACGAGTGTTGGAAAGGTGAGTGAGGTAAAAAAAAACAAAGATAACATGGACATCTCAAAGTGAATATGGCTATAAAAAAAGGACAGAGGGTGGAGGCGTTTTTATTCAACAAAGACAATCCTCGTGATCCGTGTCTTTGATGCACACACGGTGTATGCTCCAGTAATACCAGCTCACCCCTGCGTGCATTCGTCAGGGTCTCAGGTCAGCCCCCTATGAATCCATCAGCCCCCGTTCTCAGCTGCATGGGTCAATTCAAGGTCCTGAACCTGAGTGTCCCCGCTGTCTGTCAAGACCTCAGACCAGTGAACGAGATGCTTGAAACAATCCCAAGTCAACACCCTCTACCACCATAACCTCCTCACCAACACCCCCCTCCCCGTCCCCCTAGCCTGGCTGTCACACAGCACTCCTTCCCCTCTCCTCTGTCTTCATCCCTCCCTTCATCTCTCCATTCTTTCACACCGCCTTGTCATGTTGTCAGTCAGAGCAAGGATGTGTCACTCCTGGAGAGAGCTGCTTAGCACCACTGGAGCTCAGCTGAGCTCCGTTTCTTTCTTTGTGTTTGTGTGTCTGTTTGAAGGTTGTGATGGAGGTTAGGTTACAAAAAAACACGTAAATGCGTATCTTGTGTAGTGGGGGTGTAAGGAATATATATATATATATACACTGTTCAAGGCAGTTGTCTTTGTCATGAACTCTGTGTTTCTAGTGTATTGACATATCTGTGTGTTTGCATTTGTTTGCGCTTGTGTATATATGTGTGTATGTACAATAAGGATGTGCATGACTGACTGCATGACATCTTGCGTGTCAGCTGTGATGTTTTCTTTGAACTGCCTCTGGAGATCCCTTCAAGGATGCATCCTGTCACTTCTAAACGGCAGCCTTTCCACAGGAGAGGTGAATAGAGCTGTGTGTACTGTATTTTATGATTAGACAGGCTGTATGCATAGGACTGGGCTGCCTTGTGAAGTGACAGTGAACATCTTCATAGCTGATTTTTAAAGTGTATTGTATGTGCTGTCGAATTACAGGTGCTTCCACTCCGTGGGAATCTGACAGTGCAAATTGAAGATAAGCTAAATCGTGATTTGAAGAGAGACCTCTTTAAAGCCAGGACAGTGATTTTTTTTGTGAAGTAACATGTCGTGCATTCCTCCGCTCCTGCAGGTGGCGGTACAGGCAGCCAGCAGACCATTCTCCATGAGGAGCAGTAGAAGATGCCGGCTCTGCCAGCACTGCTGCTGTCAATACACTTCCTCTCCTTCCTGCTAGTCACCATGCCGCCACGCTCCCTCAGTCAGGCCCCTCTGCTCTCCTCTGTCCGCATGGGTGAGTGGCCACCTGTCCTGCCATATCCACATAAAGGGGCCACCAACTCTCAGCAAAGACACACTACTTCTTCTTCTTGTTCTTCTTTTTTTTGTTGTTCTATATTGTTGTTCTCTATATGCGGAAATTACACAAATTCTATTGTTTTCTCAGTATTTGTGAGCTATTCAAAGGATGCTGTCAATCTGCACTATAAACGCCAAACACCACAACTCATCCGTGCCCAAAATTAATATCATGGCAAAAGGAAACTTCTTGAAGAGCGTTCCATCCATCTATGCATCCATGTATCCATCCATCCGGTTCAGTTCAGTTGACTTCCATTCAGTTCAATTCATGAAGAGCCAAATCGCAACAGCAGTCACTTCAAGCCATTTTTTTTATTGTAATGTAAAGACCCCACAATAATAAAGGGGAAAAAACGACAATCAAAAAAAAACCCTTTAAGCAAACACTTGGCAACAGTGGAAAGGAAAACCTAACAGGAAGAGACATCCGCTAGAACCAGGCACAGGCAGGGCAGGCAGGGCAGCCATCTGTGTAGAGTTGAGGGACGAGAGAAGGGACAAAAAAAACCACACCATGGAAGGAAGCCAGTGATTAATAATACTAATGATTAAATGCAGAATGGTGTGTAAACACATAACGAGAGATCCATCCAATCATCCATCCATCCATCTTCTTAAGTACCTACCTCCATAATGCAAGAGGAGGTATACAGCCTAGAGAAGTTCCCAGTCTATCACTGGGGCTAAAGGTGTGCCAGCATATGGTAAATGTGTAAAGTAATGTTATCATCTATGTACAAATGTGTGCTGAGGCCTTGATCCAGGTTCATCGTTAGTAAAGGTACACTTGGTTGCTTCCTTATTTCCCACAGCAGATGGATCCACATGGGCTTGGGACCAGCATTAGGAGTCCACTAACCTGTGACCCTCTGAGGCTGGCTTTGTGTCTCCCTCCAGTCTCAAACTAGGCACCACCTTGAACCACTTAGCTTTATCGTTAATAAAACAGCATCATATTCAGTGAAAAAACACAAATAATGACAATATGTGTCCTCTCATGCAGCGCTCAGAAGCAAATCAAATAAGCACATTTCCCAAAATGTTTGATTTATGATGTTGTTTGGATCTGGCACACATACTAATCTGAACGAGGACGAGTACTTCATTCCTTTGGCAGTCGGTGGCTGTGATCCCTTTATCAGCCCCACTTGTCCACCCACTACACATTCCCACATCTACATGAGGATGGATAATATTGTTAACTCGTCTTCAAGCTTTACGCCTTGTTATGTTTTTAGCTTTCTCCTCACCACTCTCCCACTCTCCACTGCCCTCCATCTTCATCCATCCATCCATCCTCTCCTCTGCTTCACCTATCTCTCCTTCCCTTTCTCCCTCTCTAGCTGCAATCCTGGATGACCAGTCTGTGTGTGGGCGTGGGGAGCGGCTGGCGCTGGCCCTGGCCAGGGAGAACATCAACAGCGTGATGGAGGGTCCAGCTCGAGCCCGCGTGGAGGTGGACATATATGAGCTGCAAAAAGACTCCCAGTACGACACTACAGACACCAGTGAGTGGTGTGAGAATGACCACTGTGGCAGAATCACATTCCAGCAAACACTATTGTCCACTGGGACATAATGCCCCACAGATAGTGAAAACTGGGGATACAAGAAGGTTTTATTGGTACTCTTGAATATTAACAGTAATAGTGACAAATAGAGAGAAAAACCAGGAGCAGCGATATTACAGTACTTTAATTCTAAAACACTTCAGAAATGTGCTGTTATAGAATTATAAATACATAAGATTTTATTTTCTCAAAAGCTGCCTCTTTAAAAACAAAAACCTCAAATGATACATAGGGTGATAAAACGCAAGCACTTTCATGCGATTAGGAGCCAGTAAGGGATTTTGCTGATTAGTTTACATGTCATTGGAGACCAGTAATGGGCCACTAAGACTGTCTCATTAAAAACAGTGGACCTGTGCCCTCCAGTAACAGCTGGCGCTGTGTGCTGTGCAGACCATGATGAAAACAAATCATCAAATACTAATACAGATCAGCAGTACAGGCAAACAGAACACAGCAGAGAGGCTGCTTCATGAAAATTGTATTGATATAGAGAGTGTGCAAAGACAGAAGGAAGCACTGCTGAATCCAACCACTGAAGAGATAGAATCCCTGCTCCTATTCTAATCGGTCAGCGACCCTGCCACAAGCTACTGGCAAAATGTCTGTGTGTGCTTGAGAAGGGTTGTGTACATATGTGCATGCTTGAGTTGTAGGGGTGTGTGTATGTGTGTGTCCTTGACCAATGGGCAGGAGACTCTGACAGGCTTGTTTGCTCAAAGCATTTTTTGGTCTCTGGATCAGAGAGCTCGTCATCTTACGGCTACAACTGAGGCGCGCATGCACACACTCAACCCACACAGGCCTTTACACATGCATGCACACACAAACCCTCTCTGCAGACGCTTATGCACATTCACACACAGACACAATATGAGCATATACTGTAAGCTCGCACATTGGAATCAATTAATACAACAAGCTAGTACACAGTAAAGGAAAATAATCACAGTTTAGTCATCAGGCATTTTTGATGTGTCTGTGAATAATTTTTAGATGGATTCACAAAAACATTGTCAATAAAAAAAGAGCTTAGCAGGGATTAAGAGAGAGAGTACAAAAACCTGTCAGTAGGTATTTTTTTAGCCTCTCAGTGGATAGCATTCCCAGTGTTGCTTACACAATATGGACACAAGCATTGGGCTAAACCTGTTAATCTTTTAATTTAGGTGGGTTTTTTTTGCCACAGGTGTATAAAATCAAGCCCTAACCATGTATTCTGCCTTTACAAACATTTGTGAAAGAATGCGTTGTTCTAAATGTGGTATTGTAAAGATGCTACCTTTGCAAATAGTCAATTTAGGAAATTTCTTCCCACTAAATATTCCAGGATCAGCTGTTGCAAAGTGGAAATGTTTAGGAACCACAGCGACTGAGCCACAAAGCAGCACACCACGTAAAGTTACAGGGCGGGATTGTTGAGTGCATAAAAGTCAAAAAGCTTTGCTGACTTAATAACTGCAGAGCTCCAAATGTCCTGTGGCGTTAACCATTGTCTGTCATGGTCACTGCTCAGTGCAAAGTTTGATTATAAAGGGAATGTTTAGGAAATAACTCTAAATCTCGGCTTTGTTTCCCATGTATTGAGCTATATGTTCAAAATGACATTTAAACCTCGAACAGATTAGCGAACCCTGCATTTATGTGCTCCCAGGAAATTTATATATATTACAGAACCATTCTCAAGCTGTTCTTTAACTTCATGTACTTTTGACTCCGCATGTGAAAACCAAATAGAAGCTAAAATAAGATTTTTATAAAAACACTTTTTTAAATAGGTGATTCCAAGAAAATAACTACCTTGGCTGAGGTGTTGTCAAGGTTACGGCCATTAAATAACTCTTCCAACTAACCATGGTAACTTTGTATGGATGCAAAGTAAATGTTACAAGTTTATACCACACTAGAAATTAAATGTTAGCGAGAAAGTTGATATTTATTAAATTTGTTTCTTTTTTTTAGTGTCCACAACATATTTACTCTCTTCTGCCATGTTTTTATTTATGGCTGTGCCAACTTCTGACTCGAGTTGGCGTTCTTGTGGGTTACTCGCCACTTTAATGTTTTATGGGGTTTATGTGCAGGCATGAAATAGCAACTTTTTTTTACACTTTTGCTTTGATATCTGGGATCATTCTGGGAACTCATCAGCTAGTCTGCCTATGTAGTCTCAGGGAATGATTGCCATTCCCGCTGTGAGGATAGCGGATAGTTTGAGACTTCCTTTTTATATGTGGTGGTCATTTTTTCCCTAATGCTGTATCCCATAGTGTAGTGGTCTACGGTGTCCTAATAAGTAAAAGGTCCTTGGTTTCATCTTGGGAGGAGAGAAAAATCCCTTGGGAGTTGTATCAGGAGAGTCATCTGGTGTAAAAATCTGCCAAATCAAGGATGCGCAGCTACCTGCTGTGATGACCCCATGTGAATAAGGAAGCAGCAGAAAGTGGCTTTTAATGGAACGTTAAAGAACATTAAAGAATCCCCAAATGATAGTTGATGGCTTTAAGATTGCTTTGCGGCAATCTTTTGTCCTCTACGCTTACTCAGACATGATTGGTAAACAATAAAAGCCAGAACGCTTCAGATTGTGTATGTTCATATTCTTTATCGAAACGATTGTGTGAGCTGTAGAGAAGCTAGAGTGGAAATTTTCCTTACATTTCAACAGATTTTAAACCAGTTCAGTTATTTTTGTCTTCGTTAGGTGGGAATTCAGATGATAATTATGATCAGTAATACTTCCAGGTCTGTCCATAAGTGAAACTGTTTTTTTCCCTTTATTTTTTATGTATATGAACCTAGTTGGTGTATTGTAGATAGAAAACTGTAACAGGAAACACACACACACACACACGATAGACAATATAAATGTAAACATGGATACTGAAATTCAATATGTCAAAGGAATGTGAATTATACACTAAATACACAGTTATAGTGAAGACATCTGTTGGGGTTTGAAGTAGTGAAACCAGCAGTATGCTTGATTGTACTGCAGAAATAGTGTTTGCTTGAGTCATTCCTGAGCATAGAACTCTTTGAGTTAATCGTCAGATAATTTCATGAATACTTAATGTAATAGACAAATGTGTAAAGCTGTTTCTCCCACACTAATGTCCTCCTCCAAACAGGATTAAAATGCAGACTGGCGTTTGTTCATCGAAGCCGACCACCAGTCTGTTAGTATTGTTCTGATTCCAGGGGTACACTACAGTTGTCTTGAAAATCATTAAAGCCGTTAAAAACGACTACCTAAACAAGTGAATAATAGCAGCAGGCATCCCGTGGGCTGCCCTGTTGTAGTCCTTGGAGGATTTCCCTCAAAAATAAATCAGATTATAATGAGGCGGATTGTGCTGCAACAATACAACGAGTGGTTAAACTGAAACGGTAATGCGTCCTCTGAGTTCTTGGTTGCATTTAAATTTCCACGCTTTTCCCCCTGACTGCTGCCCCTTCAGTATGCTAACGCAGCGCTGCCTTCAAAACAAAGCAGAAGAAAAGGTGTATGTCTGCTTATTCACTGTTTATCTCCTTTTTTGTTTTGTTCCCTTTCAGTGTGTCAGATTCTACCCAAAGGCGTTGTCTCTGTGATAGGTCCTGCCTCCAGCCCCGCCTCTGGCTCTACTGTCAGTCACATATGTGGGGAGAAGGAGGTGAGCGTGGAAGATAAACGTGTCTCATAGCTTTTCCCGTCCTGTTTGCTACCATTGCTGCTCATGTAGGTCTGATGAATGTTGACTTGCTTGTTCTGTTTCTTCTGATATAATTAAGCTTCACCCGCTACTTCGTGCTGCTTTCTTACTTCTTTTTATTAAATGCATGTTTTGGCGTAGGTCCCTCTGTTTTCTGCCCTTCCCACCTTTCTCATCTCCATTCTCAGCCTCTAGCTACTCTAATGAATCATCCTTAATCACCACAGATCTGCGTTTTCTTGCCTTTCTTATTAGTTTCCTCTCCTCTCATCAGATTCCTCATGTAAAAATTGGACCCGAGGAAACTCCTCGCCTGCCGTACCTGCGCTTTGCGTCTGTTACTCTGTACCCTAGCAACGAGGACCTGAGCCTGGCCATTGGAGCCATCTTGCGCTCATTCAGCTACCCCTCAGCCAGCCTGGTCTGCGCCAAGGCTGAGTGTAAGTACATGCTGCGTGTTGTATAGTTAAACAGTTTATTATGTGTGACTGCGTGGCTGTGTTTGTATTTAGGTGGGTGTAAATGCATCGGCTGTGTCGCTGCGTGCCCGATTACCTCACGTACTGTATGTGTATGTTTGTGTGTATGTGCAAATTGCTCTGTGGGAGTGTTGGCAGATTCACTGTTACACTGTTTGGGCGGATATGACTGTTTGGCGCTGCTGGACATTCATTTTTGACAGTCTGGTCATGAAGTTCTGTCTGTTGTCAGAGTTCAGAACATGGCTCATGCTGCAGCCCTTCCAATTATTACTCATGCTCTTGCACACTGTCTCTTATCCACCTCAGAGGGTTGTTAGGCCAAACCAGTGTAATAAATATTCTTGTTTAAAATGCTTTCCAGTATTGGAGGAACTTAGGGGACATTTGATTTAACTTTGCCCGGCACTCAGAGAGCTTTAACATCACAGGGGATTCAGGGCTTAGCCACTCGCCCTATTTATTTTCATTTTGAAAGAGTGTGTTATTGATTTATAATGCACTCCCCAAACCAGAGCCTAAGGAATTAAAGCGCTTGGCAGGATGATGACTAGTATTAATAATAGTATTGTAGTATTCAAACACTTTGTGATACAAACACTTTTTTTTTAAATAGTAGAGGTGTAATGGTTTAAAAAAAATAACAAAAGAAACCCCCGCGGTCTCTTGCTTTTCTGTTTTCCCTTTTTCTGATAACCTTCCCGTTGCTGTAGACATAAAAAGTTAAGTGCAGCAGCTCAGTGCAAGAATGTAAACGCAGACAAAACAGAAGGATTATGTGACAGAGACACCTCGGGAGGAATAAGTGACAGCTGTAGCAGAGAAGAGGAGGAATCGCTTCATCATTATAGTAAACTGAAGGAAGAGTATGGCATGTTAGCCAAGCTTTGTGTTGTTTTCTTGTTGGTATAAACACCATGTTTGTAAATATATGATGAGTAATAGTGGTTGAGAAAAGGCTCACGTGTCCTGTTCTTATGTTGTTTGTGCTAGTTAGCCGTGTGGAGGTTCTGTGGCAGTCTGGTAAAAGCCTAAATGTTTAAAGATCATAAGAACATAATCTCAGTCTAATACTCAGAATAGGTTTTGTTAATATATACCTCATACATACATGATAAAATGTCCTCCTCCTGGATATGAGCTGTATACTATAAACTTAGCAGGCACTTTATTAACTACACCTGTTAAACGATTGTTAATGTAATTATCTATTCAGCCAATCACATGGGAGCACCTCAGTGCATTTAGACATGTAAAGATGGTCAAGATGTCCTGCTGAAGATCAAACCGAGCATCAGAATCTACTTGAGTCTTCTTACACAGTCATCTCCAGCGTTTAGAGAGAATGATCTGAAAAAAGAGAGAATATCCAGTGAACAGCAGTTCTGGGCGAAGATGCTTGTTGATGTCAGAGGTCACTGAGAGGAAGGTGTGCAGAAGAGCATCTCTGAAAGACATGAAACACTGAAGCTCCAGCAGCAGAAGACCACATTGGATGTCACTCCTATCAGGTAAGAACAGGAAACTTTGCATGGGCTCACCACAACTGGAAAACAGAAGAATGGACAAACTGGTTTCTTCAGCATGGCTGCACTCAAATGGCCTCCACAGTCATCAGACTTCAGTCCGATAGAGCACCTACTGGCATGTAGTGGAACGGGAGATTCACATCATGGATGTGCAGCTGACAAATCAGCAGCAACTGTGTGATGCTATGATGTTAATATGGATAAAAATCTCTGAGAAATGTTTCCAGCACCTTGTTGAATCTGTGCCATGAAGAATGAAGGCAGCTCTGAAGGCAAATGGGAGCCCAACTTGATACAATTCAATGAGCTCTTTGTCCAGTTTCTAATCTCATTTATTACAGCACAATGATCAGGTTATAAATTATGGTCTTCATTAGAGTCACAAAGGAGGGTGATTCAGAAAATGCTTTGGGGCGGGCTTACATTGTCAAGTCACTACTGCACGAGAGATCCACGCCCTGCTTGTCATGTCTGCTTCCAAAACACCAAGATGGTGACAGCAGAAATACTCGAGACTTCACTGACAGGGTGGTTGCCATCACTATGTCTTTGTCCTTCTTTTATACGCAGTCTATGGATATGATGCAAAAATGTGGCTCAGAGATCAGTGTATAAATTGAATCATTCCACCCCTATTAAATACATGACAGAATACGCCTATGCTCTCTGCAAATCCTCATTTTTCCACCAAACTTTTTGTCCAATTCTCTGCAAAAACGAGTTGGTATAATTTGTTTTGCAGCTTTTGACTCCTCACACCAGCCACGCGAAACCGTCCAAGAACAGAAGGGCACTTACATAAAGAATTAGTGGGACCACTGAAGTCTGAACACATCCCTTGGCAGTGTTAAAAGGGTAGTTTTGACAAACAAAAAGCTCTGACATTATGAAAAATTGATTCAATCACTGAGATGCTTTCATTATCTTTCCAGCAGTTAGCCAGCGGTCCCCTGGTTTCCTGAAAGTAAGCTGAATTCCTTGTGGACTTGTCATTTCATTGAACCAAGAGAGCTTTGAAATGGCATCAGACACCTTTTTCAGTTTTGATCATCTGTTGAATGGGTAGATAAGAGCCTTGTCTTTTACCGGGCTTTTTCTCTCATAATAATTAGAGGCGGCAGATCGCCTGATAGTTACCGTGTGGGTCAAAATGCACAGCTTTTAGTGGTGGAGAAACTGAGGAGTGCATTTTTGTGTAATATATTTGGCTTGAAGGTGATCTTTACAAGGTTATCGCACTCACAGACTCTGACCCACTTGGCTGCGCTATCTATCGCCGTGGAGCTGGTTGCCATGGCTGCCGAATAGGTGCTAACTGCCACTCAACAGGCTTGTTCCACACTCTGAACAACTGTGTGGGTGTGTATGTGGCACTGTTTGTATGTGTTTGATGTCATTTTTCTGAGTGTTTGGTTCACTTTGTCTGTACATGTGCGGCAGCGCAGGACTGTGTGTGTGTGTGTGTTAACTGTGTGTCTGCACACAGGCAGTGGGTTTTGGGTTACTTGTATGAATGTCAGCGTGTGCTTTTGTGTGCGGCGGCTCTGCTGTGGCGCTGCAGAGGTTAAACATCAGACAATGTTTACCGCTCAGCCCACTTGTTTTATTCATCATGTTTACACCAGTGTAAAGTGAATTCTGTCTTTTATTTTTTATTTATTTATTTGGCAGCAAAGTAAGTAAAGCGCAAAGTCACACATTTTGCTTACACCCACCATAGATGTAGATCCTAATTAAGGCGTGTATTTAGAATCGGGTCAGTTTTGCAACAGCGTCCTAATGGCTTTAATCTAATTTATCCGTCTTTTAGCCAGATATTCTGTTAAATGAGTCAGAGATTTTTGGGTCATTTCCGATGAATCCTTCTCTCGCTGTGCCTGGGTCAGTACTTGCTATCTGAGCCTAATTCCATTATGCAGTTTTCATGAGATGGATGAGGTTAAGGACAGCGAGAGGGAGAGACTGAGCACAAGGAGCAGGAGGAGACGGTGGCAGTGTTGGAGCAAGATGGATAAAGACAGAGAGAAGTAACTAGAGCACAGGGCTAAGACAGGAGAGATAGAGAGGTTAGAGCTTCTCTGCGCGAGAGAATATGTGAACGAGGGAAAGTGAGAGAGGGGAGTAGAGGAAGCTGTAAAGTGCATTGATTTTTTTTTCTTCTTCCCCCTCCTTCCTCAAACTAATTAAAGTTTTGGCCTGGTTCAGTGATTACCCCACTGCTTACAGAGGCTTTCTCCTGCTGAAGGGCTCTGTGTGCTACCTCTTCCCTCCTCTGCTCCTTTCTCTTCCCTTCCCTTTGTCCCACAGATGCCTGCCCCACCATTTATTTACATAGCTATGGGTTCTTTACTATGGAATTACAATTAGGAGGCATCAGAGCTGACTTTCTAGTAAAGGCTTATTCCACCCATGTTGTCAAGTGAGTCTTGACATTGGTTGGACTCATATTCAAGAGGAATTTGCTTGAAGTGTTTTAAGTACTTTATTCCAGTCTTTCAGCTTCTCTTTCTGCCCATCTTCTTTTATTTTTTTTGCCCTAGGTTTTCATGATTATTGCATGTCCAGTTTTGCTATTGGAGTGTAAGATTTTCCATTTTTCGAGCACATGCTGTTGTACTCAAAGTGCATAGTGTACATTACGCAGAGATCCGAAAAGCATTAACTGAAGGATGAGACAACGCAGGCAAAGTGCATTACAAAGCACTCAAAGAGCACATAACTCTGCTGAGGCTGCACGACCTTCTGAATTTATTATTCTATTAATAAAATGTTCGGAAATTTGTCATGTTGATTGGTTGATGGCGTCCATCAATTTTGGAGGATACCTAAAACCTGTCTGGGAATATTAAGGCTTTGTACAAAAATAAATTTCTATTGAGGCAGACTCACAAGAACCAAGTTGTGTGTGTGTGTGTGTGTGTGTGTGTGTGTGTGTGTGTGTGTGTGTGTGTATGTATGAGTTATGTTATGTCCTCCTGCTGCAGAAACATAGACTGCTCAAATGGCTTTCGGTTTTGCATCCTTTCGATATAGATTTATATACAGATAACTGCATTTCTTTTCTGGTTGCAGTAGTATGATGCATTTAAATGCATCAATCCATTTATGGTCTTTATCAATATTTATCAGTTTTGTTAGAATATTATCGAGGAAAAACATACAGTACTGTGCAGAAGTCTTGAGTCACCCCTCATTACTTAATGTTGCTAGGAAAATGGGAAATAGGTGCAGAGATTTACTCAAACATATGTATTCATATGTTGCTCATATACATCCTCCTGAGAGCCAGCCTATTCATTTATGTCCTCTTTGGGTTGTATCTTTTGACCTATTTGAGCTACCCTACCCCTAAGTCACCTAAAAGTTCAATGGGAAGGTTTGTTTTCCCTCTGTTCTCAGGAGTATATGCATATGTATGTTGCACATATATCTTTGCAAGTACATGATAACGTAAAGTCTGTAAGGCAAAATTGAGTTTGTGCAATTCTAGAGAGCTTAAAGTTAATATTTAGTGTGACTACTTTCAAGCTTATGATTTCTTTCAGTAGTCTTCAGGAATAATTTTCCAGGCTTCTTGGAGGATATGCAAAGTTCTTCTTTGGATGTTGGCTACCTTTTATTCTTCCAAGCTGATCTCACACTGCTTCAGTAATGTTGAGGTGTGGGCTCTGGGGAGGCCAATCCATGACTGATAGTGTGCCATTGTGTGTTTTTCTGTCTGGGTATGGGCAAAAATTCTAATTTGGATTAATCCCTCCACAAGACCTGTTGTCACCGATATTCAGTCCAGTTCCTGAGTAATTTGGCGTACCTCAGCCTTGTTTAACTTTCTTAAGTATGGCTTCTTAACAGCCCCCCGTCCACTGAGGGCATTTCTGACGAGGCTTCAGTGAACAGTAGATGGATCAGTTTCATCTCTCAGGTCTTGGTTGAGATCTTTGATGGATTTTTTAAAATAATTTCTTAACAATATGACTCTCTGGTACTGTTCATCAGCTTGAGATAGTTTTTTAGTCCTCCACTTCCTTTATCTTTCTTGAGGACACACTGCACACCATGCTGACATTAAGAATCAACTTGTTGGTACAAAAATACAATTTTATGCCTGTCAAACTATGTTATCTTTGCCATGTTTCATAGGTTTACCTGACAAATGGGAACGATTTTCTGTGCTGTTGTGTCAGGCTTCCAACAAAGTGCCTAAAGATACAATTTAAGATTAGTTTTTGCTAATCCCAAAAAGTTGAGTCTGTTAATCTGGACATGAGTTAGAAGTCTTTTGAATGGTTTGAATGGTTCATAGGTGTGTGTTAAGTAACAAAAAACATTCACGTGAAAGCTCCCAGATACAAGGACTGGACTGAAAACGAGTGACAAAGCAGCCAATGTCCAAAGAAAAACTTCAAAGGACTTTCAGGAGAACTATTAGCAGATTACAAGATAGTCAAAGCATAAAGAAACGAGGGCTGATTCAAGATTTTTTTTCACAACACCATCAATATAAAATCTAACTACACGTAGTGAAGATAGAGGTGAAAAATAACACAAATCCCCATAACTTGTTAAAATGCATATCTGCATCTTTTATGCACGTCCGGATTGATGGAATAACCTCTGCATAACAATTGTTCCGAACATCCCTGGGTGTAAACAGACGTACCCTGAGCTGACAGATTCATCTGGAGTCATAGATTTATTGGAAAATAAATGCAACCTTTGAGTCACAGTTGAGGTGTCACGAGAGCACGGTGGCACTTATCAGCATCGAAAACAAATCACTTGTTTTCCGCATAATTCTTCTCCATATTTCTGTAAAATGCCGTATGTCAAGTAGGTTGTTAACTAAGAGGGAAACAAACAAACAAGGCAGAGCTGATAACAAAAATCTTTTTTGTCGGAATTACAATAGATAAAAAAATAAGTCCTAGTGAGAGATATGGTTAATGGGAACACGCGGCAGACTTCATATTAAATGATATTTCATTTCCTGGGGATTTAGACAAACCATCAATCATGCTTCGCAACGAGACACTAATATATGACCATTCCAGGATAAATCAGATTTTCAAATGTCCTGCATTGGTTACGTTTTGAAAAACACAAGTCGTATCTACTGATACAGACACTGATGCGCGCCTCGTCCCTGTTTTCGATCTCCCTCAGGCTTGCTGAGATTGGAGGAACTGGTTCGCCGCTTTCTCATCTCCCGGGAGACCCTGTCAGTCAGGATGCTAGATGACAACCTGGACCCTACGCCGCTGCTGAAGGAGATCCGTGACGACAAAGTGGCCACGATCATCATTGACGCCAACGCTTCCGTCTCCTATCTCATCCTCAAGAAGGTGAGTTCTCAAACGTCAATACGTTCCCCAGAGCCACCTACACATTTTCAGGAGTCGAAGCTACTCTCGCATACAGTGCAAGCAGTATGTCTCAAGGGGGTTCGCGTATATCTCTCTTTTATGTACCCACATGAAGGGCATGCGGAGCTCACCATCTGTAAAATAATAAAACAACTCGCTCGGAGCTCCACAGGCTACACATTTGTTGTTGTTACTGAATTAACATCTATTTTTACCTTCTCTGCCCTCCAGAGCTGCATAGGGAACAATATTTATGCGTGTCTGCCAGCAACGATCACTTACATTCTTATGAAAGTATTTGACAAAAGAACATCTTTTGCTGGGATGTGGTGCAGATGTTACCCAAGCTTGTTCTGATTCATGGTACGGCTTGTAATGCCGATAGCCAGCACAGTGAGTCATGGCTTGAATGTGTATGGGATGTTTTTACTGGGCACATTTGAGCCGCTGTCCGCCCTCAGCGAAATGTCCTAGTGTTAGCCTGATGATGTAAAACTGTGATTAACGTATGCTCTCTCCACCCCCTCCCCACTTTTCTCCCTCACACCCTCTCCCCTTTTGTACCCCGACTGCTTCCTTTCCTCTCTGCCTGTCCAGTAGCTCTCCTCCTTTGCCCCCTCTTTGCCTTTATCAATCCGCCCATATCCTCCATTATTCTACCGTTTCCGCATTCTCCACTTTTTTGATCTTATTTCCTCTCCCTCTCTCTTTTTGTCTCGCAGGCGTCAGAGCTTGGGATGACATCAGCATTTTATAAGTACATCCTCACCACAATGGTAAGAGTACGCAAATTGTTCCCCTTCCCCTCTTCTGTCCTCTCTTCCTTCATTTTTCCTCCTTCCTCTCTCCTGCTTTTCCTCCTCTTTTTGTCCCTTTATGAGCCAGCAAAGGTGTTAACAGGAAGAAAGTACTCAATAGGTGGAAGTACAGAGAGGTGAGGGGAAAAAAAAGAGAGAGGCGATAAAGATGGAAAGAAGAAAGAAGAGCGAAACATTTGAAAAACGAATTACTGTATGAAGATGTGGATGTGCAGAGGAGGATGGTGGGGAGGAAAAAAGAAAATAAAGTGGGGGTTTGGGGTGGAGGTGATGACAGATGTGATGTGCCCTTTTTCTTCTGCCACCCGCCACCTTCCCGAAGCTTGCGGTGTTTTCATCCTTCTCCTTGATATGCTCCCCTCCTTTTCAAGCGTTTGAATAAATGTACCATTTTATGTTGCGCGTCTGATTTTTATTTTTCCACTTTCCTCTCTCTGCCCTCTGTGCGGGATGTGGTCCTGTGCTTTTAGATGTACTTGTATGCATATTACTTTAAAAAAAAGAAAAGAAAACTCTGTTCCATTAACCTCTATTTTCCTTGTATCTCAGTCTCCGCCTTTCTTCTAGCTCTCCATCAGAGATTAGATTTTGTCACTCCCCATAGCCTCTTTTTTTCTTTACCACCCTCTTCTATTGCACAGTATTTTTCTTCTGTGCTAAGATTTGATAGCCTGTCAACATCACCCTGTCACACACCTCAATTTTCTATTTTTCCTGCAAACACCCTCCCCACTCCTCCTCTTCCTCTGTAGGACTTCCCCCTGCTGAGACTGGATGACATAGTCGATGAGCAGTCCAACATTGTCGGCTTCTCCATGTTTAACACCACCCATCCCTTCTATTTGGAGTTCATCAGGAGCCTCAATCTGTCTTGGAGGGAGGGCTGTGACCTAACGTACCCCGGCCCTGCGGTCAGTATTTCGAGCCCATGAGTACTCATGCGTGTACGCTATTAGAGCTAATTTTTAATGCTTTGTTTATATGCCACACAACATTAAGCTACTTTATTCCTCACACTGATTCATGGAGCACTTAAACAACTCCAGCTAGTCTTTTGCTTGTATTTAATGGGTATTGATGTATCCATCTTTGTTTCCTCCCCATTGGTTTACTCGAACCTCTACATCTTTTCCCTCCTCTTCTTATTTTCCTGCCTTCTCCCCCCCCCCC